AGTGTATACGCGACCAGTAGCCAGGCTGATTGTCCTTCCTGCCCTCCCATCTGGAGAAGATGCGGACGATTCCACTTCCCTAAATTCAGCACACGTTTAGAACTTAATGCCTTTGTTAGTGAGCAAATGTATTACATACATTTGGGGGCGGCTGTACAAAAGGCCCAAAGTTCATACTGTAGTGGTTACTTTCCTAGGTCAGGGCCCTTTAAGTTGAAGCATGATGTAGCCTACTGACGTCACTTCCACTGGGTGTGTAGTATGGGTGTCGAATGGTGCTTGTCTACTTAGTGATGGAGATATGTGGTTGTGGGTTAATACTATGTAAGTATTATCAGTTATGGGCCCTTTTAGGGTTATGGGGAAGCGGTTGTATGTGATAGCTGGTAAAGTGTTCATTAATAGTGCACGTCGCTAACCTTGTTATTCTCGCTATGCACTTCCTTTCATTTCATGTACGCCTCTTAGTTGAATGATTTGGCTCGATCTAGGATCTGTTTTCTCTTGTGCATGGTTCATAGTGCATTTAAAGTTTAATTGTTTAAGTTACCAGTGTGTTTATAAACTGCATGGTGTTTCTGTGAATATACAGTATATTGTATGTTACGACGCTAAACAAAGGTTCGTCACATATACCGCTAAACGGGGGTTGTGACTCCACCGGGAGTGGTATTTCCGGTTAAACCTTCACAATAAGAGCATTTGGTTTGTTTGTAACCGATACAGGATGTGTTCCTTAGGCATGTGTGGTAACTTACTTTCGAATTAGTTTACACATAATAGATCTCTGTATACTTTGCTCATCCAGCCTTACGTTAATATGTATTATACTTATGGATACGGTAATGTGCTTATAAGGTGCATATATCTTAAATCCTTATTCATTGTATTTGTGTCTATATTATTTGCAGGAAAACCACACCCACATGTAATCTTTGTATGAGATATTGGATTAAAGGATCGTTAACTGCAACGTCAAGCACCTGATTCATTCTGGGAATGTATGGGCCTTAAGTGGTGTTCTGGCCGACACACCGAGGTGACCATAGTATCACAAGGGCTGACCAGTGCCACAGACATTTGGAGTTTTCCTCACTCACATTATTATTTCCCCTGTCTTGGAAAAAACTTGTTCACATGGCACAGATGAGGCTGGGGTACACAGGAAATGCTTGGATAATTCATAGAGGTTTGGGTAACTATATATGCAATATATCTTATCTATATCTAATGTTATTTAGGACTATCTATGTAACTATATCTAGTGTTATTTAACTGTGTAACTACTTTATCTATTTCTCTATGTAACTTACTATCTAGCTATCTATTGATCTATCTCTCTATCTACAGTGATTCTCCACTAAATACACAATCTGCTACAACACTACTAACTCTCAAAGCAACAAAACAACCTACTCTGCAAAGACAGATTCAAATGAACGCCACTAAATAGGGATATCCTGTCTCTGAACACACTTGATCCAAAGTGATTCACATGACAAACCGAACCAGTCAACTGATTCACCTGACATCCGACGAACCCAACGTCACTCAAGTGATTCAAACGTCACTAGTCACGTGACCGAAACATGCCTCGGCACAGTGGTTCGAAACAATTGCTTTATGAGCTACCGCGCATGTGTCGGAGCCTCGGGTGTCAAACGGCCATCACTAAGTGTCTGTCCTGCCCCGCCGTATCTGGTTTCCCTTCTCGACAGACCTCTCTTCTGGACCCTGGTTTCCCTCAGCTCTACCAGCCACCGCCTCACAGGTCGATGCACAGTCTCCGGTAATCTGTCTTTCTGCTACTCTCTCCTCTCAGTCATCATCACCTCCAACCCGACCAGCCCAGGAGTGAATCCTACTACCGCAGCCCGGCCCATCATCACACCATTGACTGTATTTCCTGCTACCGCTGATCGACACCCGGTCCTCTCACTACTCCTCTCCTCCTATATATATTTTTGCACTGACAACACTGTAAATAAATCTCACTGCTTGCACCGAAGCCAGCTGCCTGGTTCCATTAATTCTCCGCTCGCTCATCAGTGTATCGAGCATTCATAACAGTTAATGAAAACATTAACAATGAACACTTTCTTTCACTCTGTATAATAGCATGGAGTGAACGTTAAGGAATACATTTTGTCCTTGTAATACGAGACAAGCCTTTGTAGTTATAAATTCAGTACATGGAAGAGCTGGTTGTACTTTTTGATAGTCATACATCATAAGTTACTGAAGCACTGATTATACTTTATAAATCATAAGGGACAAGGCACATTCAAAAAGGTTATGTGCAAATAAACAGCAAGTAATATGTGAGTAACATAAATAAACAAATAATATGCAAAGGTAACAAACAAAGGGAATTTATTCATAATTGTTCATGGAGGTGATAATGATGATCACAAGGAGGATTAAGGATAAATGAGGGGAGATCTGACAGTTCACTCATTAAGTGCTTTTGCCACTCACAAGACACCTAATGCTCCAGGAGTTTCTCCAGAAGCTGACGTAAAACTGGTCCAGACTCTCTGTCCATAACATGTGTCCAGACAGACTCAGGCTTCTGTTCTGCTGGGACACTATAAGTAACTACTGGGAAACAGAAGGGGTGTGTTCAAAAAAATAGCAGTATGGCATTCAATCAGTGAGGTCATCAATTTTGTGAAATAACAGGTGTGAATCAGGTGGCCCCTATTTAAGGATGAAGCCAGCACTTGTTGAACATGCATTTGAAAGCCTGAGGAAAATGGGTCGTTCAAGACATTGTTCAGAAGAACAGCGTACTTTGATTAAAAAGTTGATTGGAGAGGGGAAAACCTATAAAGAGGTGCAAAAAATTATAGGCTGTTCAGCTAAAATGATCTCCAATGCCTTAAAATGGAGAGCAAAACCAGAGAGACGTGGAAGAAAACGGAAGACAACCATCAAAATGGATCGAAGAATAACCAGAATGGCAAAGGCCCAGCCAATGATCAGCTCCAGGATGATCAAAGACAGTCTGGAGTTACCTGTAAGTACTGTGACAGTTAGAAGACGTCTGTGTGAAGCTAATCTATTTTCAAGAATCCCCCGCAAAGTCCCTCTGTTAAAAAAAAGGCACGTGCAGAAGAGGTTACAATTTGCCAAAGAACACATCAACTGGCCTAAAGAGAAATGGAGGAACATTTTGTGGACTGATGAGAGTAAAATTGTTCTTTTTGGGTCCAAGGGCCACAGACAGTTTGTGAGACGACCCCCAAACTCTGAATTCAAGCCACAGTACACAGTGAAGACAGTGAAGCATGGTGGTGCAAGCATCATGATATGGGCATGTTTCTCCTACTATGGTGTTGGGCCTATTTATCGCATACCAGGGATCATGGATCAGTTTGCATATGTCAAAATACTTGAAGAGGTCATGTTGCCTTATGCTGAAGAGGACATGCCCTTGAAATGGTTGTTTCAACAAGACAATGACCCCAAACACACTAGTAAACGAGCAAAGTCTTGGTTCCAAACCAACAAAATTAATGTTATGGAGTGGCCAGCCCAATCCCCGGACCTTAATCCAATCGAGAACTTGTGGGGTGATATCAAAAATGCTGTTTCTGAAGCAAAACCAAGAAATGTAAATGAATTGTGGAATGTTGTTAAAGAATCATGGAGTGGAATAACAGCTGAAAGGTGCCACAAGTTGGTTGACTCCATGCCACACAGATGTGAAGCAGTTATAACAAACTGTGGTCATACAACTAAATATTAGTTTAGTGATTCACAGGATTGCTAAATCCTAGAAACAAAAACGTTTGTACAACATAGTTTTGTGTTTGTACAGTCAACGGCAGACACTGCTATTTTTTTGAACACACCCCTTTCAACTAATTGCCCAATTGCACAGCCTTAAGAGCGTGCATATCATGAATGCTGGGTCTTGTTTGCTTTCTGAGAATCTACTGCACCTACTGGTAACTTGTTTGCCATGTAGCAATAAAAAATATACTAAAAACCTGGATTATTCTGGTTAGTCACATTGTACTGCTATTATTTTGAACAATACTGTAAATGTAGTGGAGTCAAGCAGCAGTGGCTCAAACTGAACTTTCTGTGAGACCAGGACTGGAGAAACTGGATTCCGTGACTTTCCACCACTGGTTCCAGCAGCAGAGTAAAGTCCATGGAGTCACAGCCACCTGTGCAGCCATCCACACACTCAGAGAGGACAAGGACGTTTAGACTGGACCCAGGTCGAACGGTCTGAGGGATGACTGTCATCTGACTTGTTCAGTTATTTGGCAGACATTGAGGAGTTGATTGATCGGGGTCTTTGTCCTTCTTCAGCTGAATGCAGGCCTCTTGCACAAGTCTCTGTCTGTGATTTCTTGTCACAGCTAGTTGATTTCTGTTCCAGTGGCTTCAGGACATGTTCAGATCCCTTCACTGTGTTATACCCCAGTTCTTTTATTGGACAGATCTGAATAACGAAAGAGTCTGTCTTTCTTCATTTTAGTGCTGATTTATTTTAACCACAAGCAAAGTTACAAAACACAACCCTGGTGGCCCCTTCCTCCAGACATCCGCAGACAGGCTGCTGGAAAAAAGAGTGCTCCCAGAAGAACAGAGCCTAATACATTTATAAGTTTTTGGGCTAACCCCTTACACAAAAAGATTACAAAACATCACGAGATGAGACAGTCTGGCGTCTCCTTCTCTTATCTAGAGCTCCACAAGCTTGGAGAAGCTGGCCATAACAAAATGAAGAATTTCAATGTGTGTGTGTTGTCATGTGGTGCATAACTAAAACATTCATTCAAACATAATTCTAAAACAGGATGAATACAAGAAAACAATTGGTGTCAAGGTGCACTTTTCAGAATCAACATTCTATCTGTCAACCTTGAAACAGAGCAGACTAGAGCAAACCTTAATCTTACTAAATTGCATTACTAATACATTTGATTCAACACATTGTCTAATAATTATCTGACTGATTTACTAATATCTAACAACTGTCTGCACTTTATTGTCTTGTAGATTCATTGTCAACTGATAAAGAAAACTCTGACCCTTTCTATTGTTGCCAATCAGTCTACACTCAGTAACCCAAAGTGGCAAAGCAAAAACATGGTGACATTGTTGCAAATGATAAAAATCAAAGCTGCAATCTCTCATGTACAAAAGTAATTTATCCAGGCCTTAATCCAGGACTCTGTAGGACCCCTTCTGGCAGCAGGTGCAGCTCCAGTCTTCTTGGCTGAGTCTCTACCAGCTGTGCAAACCTGGATTTGAGCAGTTGATCCCGTTCTTCTTGCAGATCCTCTCAGGCTCCATCAGACTGGATGGGAAGTGTCTGTGAACTCTTCAGGTCTCCAGGGTCTGGACTTTGGTTGGCCCCTCAGTGACAGCCAGATCAGTTTATTGATGACAGTTTGATGAAGAGGAGACACTGTTTCACTACTCACATGATTTGTTTCTGGAAGTTTTAATCACACTGTCCATGCCATACCTGTAGGAACAAAGAGAGCAGTTAGATAGTGAGTGGAAATAATCAGCTTGTGTCTTGAGTCGAATTAAACCTGACAGTGATGATCCAGATCATCAGTCTCAGCAACTGAAGACATCAGCAACATGAAACAACACATGTGGAATAATCTAGGAAGCAAAGCCATGTTACAGCAGAACAGGGCTCATGGTACCACTGTTTGCCTTGATGCCAGCTGTGCATACTGCTGGCCACATGCGGAACAAGCCGCTGAGCCAAAGCACATGTCCAGGCTCTGTGAGGGCTGTTTGACCAAGGAGACTGATGGAGGCTGCATCAGGTGACCTGGGCTCCACAGGCAGCCAGCTCCACCCAGCGGAGATGGTTTGGGCTGAGTCAGGGCGCAGAGTGAAGGACAAGCAGCTGACAAGTGCTCAGCATATGCGGGAACTTCTTCAGACTGATGGAGAAGCATCGAGTTGCCTCTTTCATGGAGTGTGCACAGCTGCTGCCACAGCTCAGCATGTCCACTTGCACTGTCTCACAAAGGTCACATGGTGTTATTGGGTTGGATCAGCATGTGATACACTTTTAAAGTCATCATATCACACGTGTTGTCTGTTTTCTAAGTGTGTGCATGTGAGAGCATGTGAATCCTAGGTCAGCCAGACAACAGCTCTTAGCTCTTCCAGATGTATTGGCCATGGAGAAATGACGGGGCCAAGGTTCCAGAGACCAGAGGCTTCTACCTGTTGTCTCTGTGTGGACATGTGCTCAGAGTGGGGTGTGTTCTGCTCACACAACTAGTTTGTAGGCTGGATGGAAACATGAGAGAAGGACAGTAGAGTCTGTCCAGTGTCCATGTCTCCTCCTGAATCTGGACCAGTGGATCCAAACTTGTATTAAAGTGTCTGAAAAGAGAATCCTAGCCCTTGTCTGGTCTGGTCAAACCTCCATCTCAGCTGGGAAGAAGAACTCCCCTCACATATCAGACTGTCTCAGCACTTTGCTTTCGTTCTACATCAATACATGTGTGTTATTTCATAGTTTGGTTGTTTTCACTGAGGGAATCAGCCACTGAGAAGGTTGGAGGTTTACAGGAAACACTGGCTCTTTGCTTTGATACTGGCTGGGTTTAGTACAATACTGCTGAGGCAGCATGGACCGAATGTAACCATCTACTGACCTCAAAGTCTCCAGTCGACAGTCTGGACTCTCCACTAAATCACACAGGAGCTTCATATCTGAAACCTGCAGGCTGTTGTTCCAGCTCAGGTCTAGTTCTCTCAGATGGGAGGGGTTGGACTTCAGAGCTGAGGCCAGAGAAGCACAGTTGGTCTCTGGCAAACCACAGCAACTCAGTCTGGATAAAGAATAAACCATATAGATGAAGTAATTGATAATCCAGTCAGATATGTCCTAATCAATGTGCTTTTCATTAAAATGAGCAGAGTGACTTTGTCCTTCTGTTATTCTACCATTTCTGATCATAGCTGTGAATCAGGAGTTCTGTTATCAGGTTTGTGAAGAACCAGGTGTAAAACTCAGAAAGTTCCAGCTGTTATTTCACTGGGTCACAACAATCAATATCAGTGAGTGATCAATATGTCACATCTGCTGCTGCTTAGCTCATGTTCAGCTTGGAACTACTGGTCATCAATTCAATTCAGTTTCTTCCTTAATGTTCATGTTAGTCAATTTAGTAGCTGCCAGTAAAAAATTGTAGGATCTTTGACTTGTCCCTCAACAACTGCACCTGTTATGTAGGGCAGGTACGGGTGGACCCAACATGCAGACACACACGGGAGTGGAACAAAAAAGGAGTTTATGAAATATAGAAAGGAACAGGTTACTGGGTGGAGGAGAGAGGGGAACAGAGGCAGAGCGGGAACTGGATGGGACAGGCAGGCTTCTAGGAGGCTGCTAGGGAGTGCAGAGTCGAGGAATGGAGAGCTGGAGAATGAAGAGTTGGAAATGAGAGCTGGAGCTGGGGAATAGAGAGCTAGAGAATTCAGAATTGGAAGCAGAGAGCTGGAACATTGGGTAGCAGATCAGAGAGAAGATGAGTGTAGACAATAAACTAATGGGGAGCAAACAGAAAAAGAGCGTATATGTAGGGGACTGAACTGGGAGATAATGAGTGGCAGGTGGATGCAATGATGGGTGATTGTGCTGGCTAAGGACATGACAGGTAGGCAGAGACAGGGAATCTGGGCAGTGTTAGGTATTTTTAGTCAGATAGATATTGGATAGATACTTTATGTATTAGAAATGTTTAGTGGAGATAGGGTGTCTAGTTAGACTGTTAAATGCTTAGGCTTGCTTATGAGTTTCTACAGGGTACATCTGGTCAAGGATAACTAGAGAGAAGAGTTGATGACTGTCAGCAGACAGGGTGTTCAATATTATTATTACGATGTGTATAACTGTACACCACTTAACCAACAGACATACACATTCACACATTGATTTGCTTCATGTTTTGACTACTGCTAGGGCCAGCTGCAAAGCTGGCAACAAAGACGTCCCGGTTGACGTTTCTGTGTAGTATGGGGCTAGCCCAACCGAGGTGATATAATGTATAGGCCTGGTGGGCTCAGGGTCTTTCATCTTACATCTGCCTGCGTGCATGTTGGATGTGCAAGACACTTGAGCGTGTAATGTTAATTTTACCTGTAATCCTTTGAATAAATCAGCACTGTTTTGAAGTTACTTGGACTGCCTCGTCTCTCAGAGTTAGCATGGTAGCAAGAACGGGATCCTACACATCCCTGCCTATTCATAGCTAGCTGAGATTTACAGAGAACACCTATGGTGCATGACTTGCTCAATCGAGGCCGTCTGCCAAAAAAGTCCTTCTGCACATACAACAGCAACAAGCCCTGGTTCACAGCAAGACTCAAACAGCTTTGTCGTGCCAAAGAGGAGGCTCACAGAAGTGGGGACAGGACTCTGTACAGCCAGGCAAGGAACACACTGACAAGGGAGATCAGAGCACCATCTTCGCACTCATCTTCAACAGGTCACTGGAGCTGTGTGAAGTCCCCTCCTGCTTCAAATGCTCCACCATTATCTCAGTCCCCAAGAAAACCTCCATCAGTGGATTGAATAACTACAGACCTGTCGCCCTGACATCTGTAGTTATGAAGTCCTTTGAGAAATTGTTGGCCCACCTGTAGACCCCCTGCTAGACCTCCTGCAGTTCGCCTACCGGGCAAATAGGTCAGTGGACGATACAGTGAACATGACACTGCATTACATCCTGCAACACCTCCACTCCCCAGGGACCTATGCATGGGCCCTCTTTATGGACTTCAGCTCAGCGTTCAACACCATCATCCCAGACATCCTCCGCTCCAAACTGACCCAGCTCACTGTGCTTGCCCCCACCTGTCAGTGGATTACTAGCTTTCTGACAGACAGGAAGTAGCAGGTGAGGTTGGGGAAAACCACATCCAGCACCCGGACAAGCATAAGGACAAGGACAATCACCTTTATTAGCCAAGTATGTTACACACAAGGAATTTGTTTCCGGTACAGAACCGAGGGCAGCCATCTGCGGCGCCAACTCAACCGATGCTCTAACTATCAGGGGCAACGGGGGGGGGTTCAGTGTTTTGCCCAAAGACACTGCACTATTGCCTCTACACTATTGGTCTCATTCGAAATGGTGACGAGTCAGCCTACAGATGGGAGGTTGAGCAGCTGGTCCTGTGGTGTAGCCACAACAACCTGGAGCTGAACACGCTCCAAACAGTGGAGATGACAGTGGACTTCAGGAAGAACCCCCCCACCTTACCCCCACTCACCATACTTGCCAGCACTGTATCAGCAGTAAAATCATACAAGTTCCTGGGCTCCACTATCTCCCAGGACCCGAAGTGGACATCCAACATCAGGATCATCATCAAGAAGGCACAGCAGAGGTTGTACTTCCTGCGCCAGCTCGGGAAGTTTGACCTGCCCCAGGAGCTGCTGATACAGTTCTACAGAGGAATCATTGAGTCTGTTCTCTGCACCTCCATCACTGTCTGGTTTGGCTCAGCAACCAAACAGGACAAGTACAGACTTCAGTGAACAGACAAGACTGCAGAAAAGGTCATTGGTGCAAGCCTGCCCTCCATGGAGGACCTGTACACCTCACAGGTCAAAAGGAGGGCAGAGAGGATCACTACAGACCCCTCACACCTGGGACACAATCTATTCGAATTCCTCTCCTCTGGACAGCATTACAGGTCACTGTGCACCAAGACAACCAGGCATAAGGACAGTTTCTTCACCCGGGCCATTGCTCTGATACTTGACCCATGACAATATGACTGGACAATAATCCTCAGTGCAATACCTGTAAATATACATTGTGCAAATCATACAGGTCTCTATCTCTAAGTACTCTACTTTTATTCCCCTTTTTATTTCATTTCAGTGAGCATTCCTATGTCTGTCTGCACTGTTTGTTGCTTGTTAATACAGCTTATTTTGTTATATTACACAGCCTTATGCTGGTTTATTGTTTACTTGCCCCTTGCATGGGGATATGTACATACACATTGAGAGCTGATGTACCAGAGTCAAATTCCTCGTGTGTCCAACACACCTGGCCAGTAAAGCAGATTCTGATTCTTCACTAAGTCTAGAGAAAGTTGAGAACCAAAGAAACTTTGTGTAGCAAAGTTTTATTTTCACTGAATCCTTTGATAAAACTCCAGAGACACTACCAAAATGATCCTGCTACAATCAGTTTAAATTCAATACGTTTTTTTGGTGATACATCTCTGAACAGCCATCAATAGAAGAACCCTGGTGAAGCCAGCACTGTGAAGAAAACTGGCCATCTGGGAAGCAGCTTCTTCCAAGAGTGAGCCTATCCAAATCTGACAATGACAGATGTGTCCTGAGTCCTCAGCTTGATTACTGTCATGATTTAGTCCCGCCTGCTTCTGGTCTTATGATTTTATTTTGGCACCACTTCCTGTTGCAGTCTCACCTCAGCTACGAACTCTTTACCCTAACCAGTGTTTATTGTTTGCACCTGTTTTTACCCCTTTATAGGCAGTTTCCTCCCACCAGGAAGCTCCTGGATTCTTCTAGACTCCCGTTCAGATTTTCCACTGTTATTCTTCGTACCTGATATTCCTGTTCTGACCCCAGATTGCTTTTGACCACCCGTCTTACTCTCCTGATCCTGATCATTTTCTGTGCATTGACCCTTGGACTTCCCCTTTTGATCATGCTTGTGAGGATTTTCTTGGCTGTGTTAGTTGCTGGCATTGACCCTGGACTGGTATTATTGACTCGAGTGTGTTTTCTGGACTTTTGTATTGTATACTGCTACTGTGATCAGTAAAGAGACAGTTATCTACTATATCACATCTGGCATTATAATTGAGTCCACCATTGACACTTTTGGCAGCGTTACTCGCCAAACCTGACAGATTACCATTTTGGAAATCCAAATCCGGCTCAACTCTGACCCAAAGAACCTCCAAACCAGAGCTTCTCTCCTCCAGGCCACATGTAACCTCCAAAGCTAAACTCCTGCTAACAGATAAGTGCACCCTGGCTAACGGATGCCTCATGAAAACTGTAGTTAATAGCTATTAGTTACCAAATTTAAAGTCTATAACCTGTAGCAATCGACAGCTATTTTTCCTCTGCATAGTCGTGACTAAACCCCAGAATTTAGATCTAGAATCTAGCTCTATTTTTGACCAGAATCCCCTTCTTCCACCATTGCTAACAAGAAACTGTTCAGTCAGTCATCCAAAGCATTCACAGCTGTACCATTTGAATCATCTCTTTCCTCCGGATCATTTTCCCAGCTTAGATAAATAAACTTAGAACTGGCTTCATTATATCATCTTTGGGTCTTTTGTTTCAGCAAGTGGGTTCACTGAACTGGTAGGATTCATTACTTTCACGCTTAGACTGATATAATTACTGTAATTGTTTAATAGTTTGATGGAACTATAACTATCTGGTGCCATACTCTAATGAGGTATTTGAATATTAAATATCAATATTCATTTTCATAAGTGTAGTTATTTCCACTAGAACATTTAAATTAGGTTCAGATGTAATTTAGGTTACCAGGTCTACAACAGTAACAGTCAGTGAACTGACCTCAGAGTCTCCAGTCTACAGTGTGGACTCTGCAGAAAATCACAGATCAGCTTCAACCCTAAATCCCGCACATTGTTGCATCTCAGGTCCAGTTCTCTCAGATGGGAGGGGTTACAATTCAAAGCCAAGGCCAGGGATGCACAGCTGGTTTCTGACAACTTGCAGCGCCACAATCTGAGCAAAGAAGAAGCCAGGTGAAGGTAGGATACAAAGTTCCTGCTTAAAACCAGTGTTCATTATATGTTCAGAAAGTAGAAGTTTTGAAACTGAAAACTCCAAACAGATGAACCCAACAGGATGCAGGTTAAAAACAGTCAGATATAAAAAGTGACAAAGAGCTCTCATTAATATGAATGACAACATTCTGCCACTTCAATAAAGTAGAAACATTAAAGAGCATTTTAAAAGTATTTTCACCAGACTAATTATGCCTTTGTTATTGTCTGATAGATTACACAGTAGGTTGTTATTGTTTTAAACGTATTTCAGAGAAAGTAAACAGTCAATGGACTAAGACACTGTAAAAAGAAACAACATGTGAATTGAAGCTCCTCAGTGTGGATCAGTATAATATCAGCCCTAAGCCTGCAGTTTAGTGTCAACACAACTTTCACATCATATTCATCTCAGCACAGAACTAAAACATGGTATCTGACCTCAGAGTCTCCAGTTGACAGTGTGGACTCTCCAGTCCAGCACACAGCAGCTTCACTCCTGAGTCCTGCAGCTTGTCATCACTCAGATCCAGTTCTCTCAGATGGGAGGGGTTAGATTTCAGAGCTGAGGCCAGAGAAGCACAGCTGGTCTCTGACAAACTGCAGTCCCTCAATCTGAATAAAGAATACATCACTGATAAACCAATCAGATATGTCCTAATCAATGAGTTTTCTCTAAAATTGGTTTAGACTCACTGTTAATGTGTGTTTGCTACAACATTATATATTGTGACTTAATGTCAAAGCATATTGTAGGATAAATTGACAGTTTTGCTATAAATGTCAATCCAGTTTGATGACTGAGCAAAACAACTGAACTGAGGGACATTTAAATCTTTTGTTGATTTTAAAATGAACAAGGGCAAAAACATATGGACTGACCTAAGAATCTCCAGTCGACAGTGTGGACTCTCCAGTCCAGCACACAGCTGCTTCACTCCTGAATCCTGCAGGTCGTTGTTGTAGCTAAGTTCCAGTTCCCTCAGATGGGAGGGGTTGGACTTCAGAGCTGAGGCCACAATTTCACAGTGAGTTTCTGAGAGTCGACAGTTATAAAGCCTGTGATGACAAAAACATCAAATTTAAAATTTTATCAAACCTGAGAACTGGAATAAAAACAATATTTATTTGTTTTGATTCTAAAGCAGATTGACATGAGCAGCTGTAGCTCAGGTGCTGGAGGTTTCTGACAGATCTCAGCTCGACTGTTGCTGCTGGGAAATGCAGACAGGAAACACAGGGCTACAGTCTCTCATGTCTTACATGAGGCTGAGCAGATGGAAAAGGGGGAACATGAGGAGCAGCTTGAAACAAGGCTCTTTATCAGGGACCATGAGCCAAGCAGCTCTGGAACATCCCACTGTTTACAGAGCAGTCCATTCAAATGCTGCCAGAGAGATGCAAAGACAGCAGCATTGCTTCTGCTTCTACATAAGATTCATGTCTAACACAGCAACACACACGAACAGATGTTCACTGTTAGAACAACACAAGTCGAAGCCATACTTAAATGAGAATGGAGAGGGGGTGTTTAGTTTGATTCCTTGTACCAGAGGGAAGACGCCCCCAACATACAACTAATGTTTGCTGGATGTTTCTAACAGATCTCAGCTGTCAGAACATGCACATACACCCTCTTCAGCTCCAGCAGTGATTATAGAAGTTGGAGAAAATATGACAATGGACAGAACAGTTCTTACTGTGAAACAGCAAGTGCTGATAATAAATACATGGTAACGGCAATATATGCATGAAAACTGTGCTCAGATGCAGCTGCTGTTAGTTCCACCAGGTCCCGGACATTAGAGGGAACGGGAGTCTGTATATAAAAGATGAATAAACAGCCAGATGAAAGAAACACAGAGCAGACACTGTGTCCACTCTAACAAGAATGCCATCAACTGAGAAAACATGTTGACTGTCCATATTTTTCAAGTTTTTCTGCTGGATTTATGTAAAACTTCCATCAACCAGAGAAAGACAGAAGATCCTTGTGTTCACTGACTTTACAGCTGGAAACACAAACATTTTGGACTCATCAAAATTCTGAAGACAAAGATATTAGTAGCATAACATGATTAAAATTGTTTCAATTGCTTCAATACTAGTTTAATAAAACATTTAAAGTGTTTGTGTTCTATATTGTGTATGTGTATAAAGTGTGTGTTTTTACTCTGATAATGATGCTTCAGCTTTGTGTTGCTTTATAATGTTGATGGTCACATCTGGACTTACTGTTATGGTTTAGTCCCCCTCACCAGGAGGGTGAGGGAGAACTGGGGTTGGACTCAAGATGGCTGACCCAGGTGCTAGTACAAAAAGGTGGTTTAATGGAATAAAAACAACATGACAACATAACAGGGTCCATAATACTGTAGTGATCCTTCACTTGGCATGTTATGATGTTCTAAATTGTTATGGTTCCTTGATGGGTGTGGAGCTTCAGGGGTTAAGAGGTGTGAGAGCGGGAGGGAGTGAAGTGTGGGGGATTTGAGCTACAGAGGGTGTTAGCAGGCTGTTTTTCTTTCTTATTGTTGTTGGGCTGTTGTTTTGGCGTGGTTACGGCCAATAGTAACCGGTTGTGTGGAGTTAATAAAAAGCGACTATTCGTCGGCACTCAAGGTTGTCTTCCTTGTGTCCTGCGGGACGCTACATTTGGTGTCAGAAGTGAAACGCCGGAGTTACGCCTGCCATTAGCCTTAGCCTCCGGCTTATCGGGCCTTGATAAACACCTGACTAGATGGCAGCGCGACGGGTGAGGAGCCAGGCTGGAGGAGCTGGCACCATATGTCTTCAGCGTGGAGTATAGGGCGGGAGCTCGCCATGCCAACGCTGATGCTATGTCCCGGCGTCCTTGTGCACATGACGGCTGTCGATATTGTGAAAAGCGTGAGTCCCGAGAGGTGGAGCTCCGCAGTGACAGGTGGCGGTGGGGGCCCCGATGGAGAGAGTGGCCGTGGACATTATGGGTCCCTTTCCACGCACAGATAAAGGTAACCGCTATGTCCTGGCTGCCATGGACTATTTTACAAAATGGCCGGAGGCATACGCCATACCAGACCAGGAGGCAGAGACAGTCGTGGATGCATTGGTGGATGGAATGTTTTCCAGGTTTGGAGCAGCTGAAGTGGTTCATAGTGATCAGGGCAGGAATTTTGAGTCGGCACTCAAGGTTGTCTTCCTTGTGTCCTGCGGGACGCTACAATACATACAAGGGAAGGGCAGTGATGACTAAGGAGACCAGGACGGTAAACACACAAACTAACGACAGGAACTAGGATAGCAGGAGGATGAGAACGGACAGGTGAACAAAAAGAACCAACGTAAACAATGCAATCCACAGCACAGAGGCTGTCAGTGTGGAAGACAAAGCACGTATTTCTGTGTTGCTAACCGCATAATTAGCGTGATAAGGTCAAGCCAAAACGCACAGAGACTGTCAGCGTAGCATCTTACACACGTCTAAAAATATGCGGGTCAAACACAACATTTGTCACTTACATAGGGTAAGTATTGTCCATTACATGTCGCAATGCTCCGGCAACGATAGGGCGTCTGCCAGAGGTATAAATAAGGAAGCCAACAAATCACCGGAATACGCCTCAGGTGTGCGCACCGACCCCCAAGTCACTAATTACCCAATGCGACACAGCTGAGGCATTGATCCCGCAAAAAGGGAGAGCAGGAGAGGAAAAGAAAGAAAGAGGCAGGTCGTGCCAAATGGACCTGACACTTACCGAAACCTTCTGCAGTTCCTCACAGCAGGGATCAGTCTTCGTTGTCCCTCTTCTGATGTGTTGTACTTCTTCAGGTCCAACTCATCCAGAACCTCCTCTGACATCTGCAGCATGTAGGCCAGAGCTGAGCACTGGATCTCAGAGAGTTCCTTCTTTGACCTGGTCTCTGACTTAAGGAACTCTTGGATCTGCTGATGGACTGAGTGGTCATTCAGCTCCATCAGACATTGAAAGATGTTGATGCTTCTATCAGGAGAGATGCTGTACATATTCATCTCTTTCAGGTTGTCAGTGGCTCTCTGGATGGTTTCTGGACTGTTCTCTGTCTGACCCAGCAGGCCTCCTAAGAGTCTCTGGTTGGACTTCATTAAGAAACCATGAAGGAATCGGACAAACAGGTCAAGATGGCCAGTTTTACTTTCAAGGGATTTGTCCATGGCTCTCTTCAGGACATCATTCAGAGATGAGACCTTGTAGTCTTTCCCCAGAAATGTCTCCAGTACCTCTATGTTCCTGTTGGTACAACAGTGGGCCATGAAGACTGCAGCCAGAAACTCCTGAACACTCAGATGAACAAAGCAGTAGACTGATTTCTGGAAGATCGTCCGCTCTCTTTTGAAGATCTCTGTACAAAGTCCTGAGTACACTGAGGCCTCTGAGACATTTAAACCACACTGCTCCAGGTCTTCTTGGTAGAACATGATGTCTCCTGTCTCCAGATGTTCAAACGCCAGCCTCCCCAGCTTCAGAAGAACGTCCCTGTTGGCCTCCATCAGCTCCTGTAGGCTTGTCCCATGTACCTCACTGTACTTGTGCTTCTTCCTCTTGGTCTGAACCAGCAGGAAGTGTGAATACAGTTCAGTCAGAGTCTTGGGCAGCTCTCCTCTCTGCTCTGTAGTCAACATGTGCTCCAGAACTGTAGCAGTGATCCAGCAGAAGACCGGGACTTGACACATGATGTGGAGGCTCCTGGAGGCCTTGATGTGTGAGAAGATCCTGCTGGACAGCTCTTCATTACCGGACCTCCTCCTGAAGTACTCGTCCTTCTGGGCGTCAGTGAAGCCTCGTACTTCTGTCACCCTGTCGACGCATGTCGGAGGGATCTGATTGGCTGCTGCAGGTCGGGAAGTGATCCAGACGAGAGCCGAGGACAGCAGGTTCCCCTGGATGAGGTTTGTCACCAGCACGCTGACTGAGGACTTCTGAGTGACGTCGGACACAACCTCACTGTTGCTGAAATCCAATGAAAGTCTGCTTTCATCCAGGCCATCAAAGATGAAGAGAGCTTTACAGAGAGCCAGCTCCTCTGCTGTGACCTTCTGTAAGGTTGGATGGAAAACATGGAGCAGTGTGAAAAGACTGTGCTGCTCATGTCTGAGCAGGTTCAGCTCCCTGAACGAGAGCAGAACCAGCAGCCTGATATCTTGGTTTTCCAAACCCTCTGCCCAGTCCAGAGTAAACTTCTGCACTGAGAAGGTTTTTCCAATGCCGGCGTCACCACTCGTCAGAACCACTCTGATGTGTCTCTGTTGGTCGGGGAAGGCTTTAAAGATCTCGTGGCACTTGATTGGAGTGTCCTGGAGGGTCTTCTTGGAAGTGGTCTCAAATTGCCTCACCTCATGTTGGGTATTGACATCTTCACTGTGTCCCTCTGTGATGTAGAGCTCAGTGTAGATCCTGTTGAGGGGGATTTCACTTCCTGTTCTATCAGTTCCTTCAGTCACACATTCACATCTCCTCCTCAGACTGATCTTATGTTCATCCAACACCTCCTGCAGCCCACCACCAGCTGAAAAACAAGAAACAGTGTGAGACTAAAGAAAGAATCTGTCAAGACAAAAGCTCTGTGTTGTTTCTAATCATGTTAAATGCTGTGTGATAGAACAAAACCAGTCCAGTTGTCAGTGAGGACATCAGCAGGTTGTTGTATGTACAGTCTTACTTTGTACCATGCTGGTCTGACTGGCTGTCTGCAGTCCAGGTCTGGTTCTGGATTCATCTCCACACCTGGAACCAGTCTGGTTCATCCTCCACAGCTGCTCCTCTTCACCAACACCACTTTTCTTCTTCTTTCTGTGTAAACATGTCTTTAAAAATGACTGTGGCTGAAAAATCTCCAGATGATTATCCTTATCCTTATTATGTATCCAACATAGTCTAGAAGCTGTGATGGTCACAGAGAACAGTGAGAGTGGTGCTACGTTTCTGTTTGGACTCAGAGTTCAGTCTGTAATGGAAATGACTTTTTATTTGTTTGACACTCTCCTGCTCTTACAAACTAATGAGCTGCTTTTCCTCTTGACTGTCTTATTAAACATTTACTGGCCTGCCTGGAATTTATTTATGATACAAACTCAACACTTCCGGAAGCTCCTTCACAATAAAAGCCTTCCATTAAAGTGAGCTGATGCTGTCCTTTACTGTTTCACAGTGGGCAGCTTAGCTCAGGTCAGTCAGGTGTGAGCTGAGGTCAGACGTGGTCTACAGACTGTGGTGGACCAGTTTCAGACACACAACATGTAACAGAGGTATCTCAGGTTTGTGCCTCATTTCCTCTCTATTCTACGTCACTCTCTAATGTCGACCATCAATTGAAGGCCTCAGTGCCAAACACAGACTCTCAGACAGAGAACTGCTCTAAATCTACATGTGTTTACAATCAACTCAACTCAACTCAACTTTATTTATATAGCGCTTTACCACAGCACAGCTGACCAAAGCACTTAACATATCATACAAATATAAAAACAACACATAAAAAGCTATAAACAATACTATAAACACTAACACCACGGACAGAGTGTCATTCCTGATCAAACGCCAGTGAATAAAAATAGGTCTTCAAATAAGACTTAAAAGTGGGCAGTGAGGGGGCCTGCCTAATATAAAGCGGCAAGGCATTCCATAGGTTTGGACCTATCACAGCAAAGGCTCTGTCCCCCCTAGTTTTCCGCCTGGCCCTTGGTGCCTCCAGAAGAAGCTGATCTGCTGATCTGAGGCACCGCGATGGAGTATACGGATGCAAAAGTTCCACAAGATAAGAAGGTGCCAGCCCATTTAAAGATTTATAAACAAATAAAAGAATCTTAAAACGAACCCTAAAACGCACCGGAAGCCAGTGGAGAGATGCCAGTACGGGCGTTATGTGGTCCTTCTTACGCCCCCCAACCAATAGCCGAGCGGCAGCGTTCTGGACCCTCTGGAGGCGGGCAAGCCCCGATTGACCAACTCCAGCGTACAGTGCATTACATCCCAGGGGTTCCATCCCAGGGGTTGTCACACTAACCCTAGGATAAGACACTGTGGCTGTGGCTCATGAGGTAGGGCAAGTCGTCGTGGTTCGACTCCCGGTCTCCCCGCATGCCCAAGTGTCCCTGAGCAAGACACTGAACCCCGAATTGCTCCCGGTGGCTTGACTAGCGCCGTTGTGTGGCAGCCTTGTCGTCATCGGTGTGTGAATGGGTGAATGGTGTATGATCTCCTGTAAAGCGCTTTGGCCAGTGCAACACACTGTGAAAAATGCGCTATATAAATACAGTCCATTTACCATTTACTAGTTTAATCACACAGGACAACAACATTTACACATTTCTATATCAAAACACCGTGTGTGTTCTGTCTTGGTATGAAGGTCATGTGATCTATGAGTTCCCTCACTGGCTCCATTGTTGTGCTGGATCATGTTCTATAGTTCAACTGTGCTGGGCTGCAACACTGCCGCAGATCTGCAGACTAAAGGGAAGCCACTGCCCCAAACCCTCATGCACTGTATGAATCAATCATTTCAGTGGAGTGCTGTGCTACTTCTCATCATGAAGGTTGTTGTCGAGGACTCAGCACCTGATTACACACACTGGGCTGAGTGTGTTGATTGATCACACTGAATCTCCATCTGACCATGTTCTGACCTGTTTTGTCCCCAGGTGACTTTTACATGAGCACTGCCCACAGATGGTTGTTGTTCACCTGTAGGAACAAGATGTTGTGGAGAGAGTCCAAACTCAAAGGTCACCTTACTAATGTTCCCCGGCTTTCAGATGAGGGACAGATGAACATCTTTACAGCGATGTCAGCATCAGGGCAAAGAGATTTTCCTGACATGTGAACTGTGACCAGAAGGTTCTCAGGTTGTTTCTACAGAAACACCATCAGCAGTTTGTGGCTAAAAAAGCCAGACTCATGTTTGTGTTCCTGTTCAGAGAATCATCTTCAGGTCAGTTCACAACAGAAACTGTCTCTTACTTTATGTCTGGGGGTCCACATTCAAGACTGAAGGCTGGAGGATAATCTATGGACCAGCCACTCTTCATAGACAGATGACTGGATACTGGAGGCGCTGGTCTTTGTCTGTGGTACCGAAACACAAACATGGTTTTATTCATATCCCACCAGTCACTGATTTGTTCTCTGATAACAGTCACTGTGCAGTGTTTTGAAAAGATCAGAGAACTGGAAAGCAGTGATAGCTATAGACAGCAGTATGAGCCTAATGTATGATTTTATATGTGATTTTACCAGTGTGATGCACTGCATGTGTGTACAGCTGCCATTTAAAAAAGGGTAAGTTGGTGTGTGGAAAAACATGAAGTCATCAGACATTCCTACAAAAGAAGTGCAGGCAGAGATGTCTGAGTGTCTGTAAGAAGAGGAAAAAAAGAAAAGACAGGAACCACCGAGTTTACTGAAAAGAAAGAGATTAAAATACAACAGCTTCATGCAAAAAGTAAAGTAAATATCTGGTTCATCAGTAATCAGTGTTTAATCAAGGGTTAAAGATATTTTGTATTCAGAATAATATAGTGTGGTGGCAATTTTTATGATAGTACCCTTACAATAGTGATTGTTTTAGATGAGATGTGTTAACAGCAGTGTTTGGAGCTTTAATAGGTTTCAAATATGCCATCTTAGTGTGCAAGGTTAAACTATAATATGCTCCTAATTCCAGGGATTAGCAAATCAAGGCCTTCAAACAAGTGACATCCCCATTTAACACCAAACATTACACTGAAGGATAAAGCAACATTATCACTGTGGTGTCAGTCATTAACAGTGGAGCTCTATGGCTCAGTGGAGTCAGAGATATAATCCACACATTGTAGTTTTTAGTGGGAGACACTCAGTGTTGGTTCGACTCTGCACATTGGATTTGTTGGAAATAAGAAAACTCCCTAAACAAATCAGACACAGCCTTCAGCATGAACTGGTTCTATTTACTGGACTGAACAACTTGACTGATGAACCCTGGGTTTGCTGACTCATTAGTTCACAGTTCAAATGCTGCTGCTCACAAAGAGTCTAAAGTTCAACTGTGCATTGTGAAACTCTTCATCTTATCATCGTTCACTGAAACACTCCTCCTTTGTTATCTGGCAATTTCTGACTCCACTGTGGCCCTTTAGTTACTGATCAACTTTTAAACTATTCATGTTTATCAGCTGCAGTAACATACAGTATGTAAAATACAGTAAACATGTGTGTGTAAAGTTCACAGACAAGGCTAGAAGAACCAGGGAAGGTTTATTTTCTGCCAACAGCAGCTGTTAACATCAATACAATAAATCCTGTTAGAGGCAACAGCGTGGGGGTTCACAGGTTTGTAGCAGGTCTCTTACCTTGTGTCTGAGGGTCCAGGTCCAGGACCGAAGGCTGGAGGATAATCTTTGGACCAGTCACTCTTCATAGACAGATGACTGGATACTGGAGACTCTGGTCTGTTCTCATCTTCCTCCATTCTGGACTGGAGTCAGTCTGAATTAAACCAGTAACTTCAACTGGGAGCTTTGAACACAAGAGTCACAATAAACACGTCTGTTCAAGAGTCGCACACCAGCCTGAAAGAACAGGAAGTAAAACATATTTGCACAGTGTAATAAAAGCAGGAAACTCACTGAGTAGGTTCTGCCCCCACTTCATTTATACAAAGTCACATGAGTCTGCCTCCACCTGTGTGTATGTAGATCATGATGACTGAAACCTGTTAACACACTCACTGTGGGGACTCAGCCAACCTTGTGGGGACTAACTTCTGGTCCCCACAAAGAAATCACTGAATTTTAGGGTGGCAACATGGTTAGGGTGAGGTTAAGTGTTAGATGTTAGGCAAATAGTGGTTATGGTTAAGGTTAGTATAAGTCTACAGGAAATGAATGTAAGTCAATGTAAAGTCCCCACAAAGAATGAAAACACAGCGTGTGTGTGTTTGTGGTGTTCACATGACATGTTTATGAGCATCCATCTTGGCTTGAAGAGTTTGAATTAAACTAACTACTGGTCAAATATTGTCCAGTTAAATCCTGTAAATAAATGTGTTTCCAGCTGTTTTCTTTCACAGACATACAGGGAACAAGAAGTCAGTTGAGTATCAGCTCCTGCAGCTCCATCTATGGACAGGTGACACTGGGTCCATCTCCCCCTGTGACCCTCATCACAGGATCCCCCCAAGACTGAATCCTTCTCCCCTAACACTTTCCTTCTTTACACCAACATTTTAGCAAACAGCCACCATTCAAAGAATAATCTAGACCAGCCTGGTGTGACAGCTCTGACACTACACACTGTGTGAAGTGGCTGTCCTCATAACTTTGTCTAGTCCATTTTTATTACAGTTTTTTTGCTGTTGCTAAGAAGCATTAACCAATACTTAAAATACTTCTTCTAAACTCTTAACACAGCAACACAGTTACATCACACACCTGGCCAAATGGTTCATTTTCGGACAAAAACCACTTTTTGTTAAATAAATACAAACTTTACATTTCACAATGCAAAATACCATTTTCTACATATACTAACTTTATCAAAACACAGCAAACCTGACTCATAATTGAGTCGTTTAATCAAAACATTAGCACTAGTTTTCTATCCAACAGGAACATATAGTCATAGTGCACAGACTGTCAAAATGTGAAAAAGTAATCACATTACAAAAATGACATTACTTCTCATTGAACTGTATACAATATGAAAACCATCTTTGATATCCAAAAATGTAGAAATACAGTAATTCAGTCAGCCTTACTGTAAACACACTAAAATTGTGTGTGGATAAATTTTGTATAGTATATGTACAGTGGAACCGTCAGTACTTTATGGATTATAAAAAAAGGACAGAATTGCTGCAGTAAAGGCTTTACGGTATTGGCATTTGCACATTGCTATCAGTAATCACAGAAAAAAGCACTTTGCCCTGTGTTTACAACAATAGACAAAAATAAAACAAAATGACAGACCAAAAAGTCCTAATCTACACGATCATCAGCATTTGGCCACATGTTCTCATCAACATCACACCTTATAATGTCTCTTGCTATGCACCTTGGAAAGAAACGTTTAGAATGCCTTATCCACCCCTGGCAATCTTCAGCTGAGATGTCTCTGCAGCCAGCCTCCATTGCATCCAGAAGGGACATTTGATCATGTGGTCGATGATCATAGACTTTCCACCTCCATGCAGACAAAAATTCTTCAGTGGGAATGGAGAGTATGGAGGAAGAAAAAGTGAAATCATTCTCAGATGGGCTGCAAACCAATTTGTGACTGCTTGTGAATGGTGGAATGCTACGTTGTCCCATGCAATAACAAATATTGTCATGTTTCCGCCCACTTGTTCCCTTTCTGCTTCTGGCACCAGTTGTTGATGAAGGTCATCTAAAAACAAAAGAAGGCGCTCTGTGTTGTAGGGACCTATCTGGCTTTTCTGCAGGACCAAACCAGCACTTGAGATTGCAGCGCACATTGTGATATTTGCTCCTCTCTGACAAATTGGAACCAGCTGTTTCCCAAGTAGAACAATAATTCTTATCAGCTCTTTGAGCTAATTACGTTTCTTCCTCGTCTACGAGTTTTGGGCAGGTTAAATCCTGCCTCATCTACATAAATAAAATCATGTGGTGTCTGATTAGCCTCCAACTCCATAACTCTCTGAAAGAAATACGTAAAACACAAGTTAGAGTAAAAAGCTTTTCACTATGTGGGTATGGATGAGTCACTTAGATTTGATATAGTAGGTACCTGGACATACTGCTGTCGGAGTTCCATGACCCGCTCGCTATTTCTTTCAAAGGGAACTGTGTACAGGTGTTTCATTACAATTCTGTGTTTCTTCAAAGTTCGAGCAATGGTAGCCAGGCTGATGCTGTAATACCAGGTTGTCCTGTACAATTCTGTCCTGAATTTCTCTGAGTTTTATAGCATTGTCAGCAATTACCCATCTTATAATACTATGCTCGTGGTTTCCATTTAGCAGCTGTCTTCTTCCCCCAGAGTAAGGACGTCGCTGTGTCCTTTACATACGTAAATGAACAAATGTGTTACATATTTGTATTTGTAGATGTTGGTAGTCAGCAGTTACTGTGGTACATTACAAATGCAAGTATGGCGCTCATGAAATGAATTACTAACCTGTTGGTTTGTTGAAAAATTCAGATAATGGAAGCCACAGTTGATCGTCTGAGATTAGGCTGGACTCTTTCACCGGCCTCTCTCAGTGACAGACCATGGTTTATTACATGGTCTATGATGGTGGCTCTTATTTCATTAGTGACAACAGCTCTTACTCTCCTTTGACCTCCTCCACACATTCTTACTCCTCTCCCCCTATCTCTCCTTCTCCCTTGTCCTGCTGCAACTATTCCTCTCCTTAGATCACCTTGTCCTCTCCCTCATCCAACTATTCCTCCTTGTCTAATTCCTCTCCCTTGTCCAGACATTTTCTGCCTCTATGTGTTTTTCTGTATTGTTTTGAACAAACCCGGTCTAGAGAGTGCATGCTTTTTTTTTTATTGTGCTTGAACATGCATGGAAAGATGTGGGATTAATCAGTGTCAAATTGGAACCAGCTGTTTCCCAATTAGAACAATAATTTTTATCAGCTCTTTGAGCTGTTGTGGCAAAAGTAGAGGCTTTACATTATATTTAAAGTTTGGATCATTAGGTCTTCAATTCTGTCATGATGTGTTTAAGCATTTGTTAGAGATATTTGAAAGATCCATTATTTTGCTATGGGGTAAGCTTGTGTGAAAAGAAAATGTAAGGATTTTAGAAATGTGTGCATTGACTAAATTTTGTGTGAAAACGACATTAATTGTATTAATGGTATGGTCACAACAGACAGATGTTGTAATAATTGTGTTTAGAGTTTTGAAAATATGAATACAGAATGGACAAATGGATGTTAGCAACTGCGAAAAACTGTAAAATATCTAACCTCTCTGATTCGTCTTTGGGCTTTTACTTGAGTAACCTTGTCATGCAGCTACATAAAAACATTCAGTTGCATTTTTGAACATAAAATAAAAAATTAAAACAATGTGATTTGAACCCGTACACCACTGTGAAAAAACACTGTAACCCAATGCAGCACCATTGCTTCAATTCAATTAAATCAATTCAAGCTTTATTTGCATAGCACTTTACCACATCAGTATGTTGACCAAGTTGCTTCATATTGTAGGTTAAATACCATTTAAAATAAAGAACAAAAATAAAATAAAACAAAATTATAAATGATGCATCCAATCATTGAGTTGATTGATTGAGTTGTACCAATCAGAACATACCATCTCTAATAAGATTCATAAGCCAAGGTAAATAAATATGTTTTAAAAAGGGATTTAAAACTGGACAAAAAGAGCCAGATTTAAGACTAAATGGTAAAGTATTCCAGTGTGTCCTACTTCCTCTCTTCTCTGGTGTATGAGACTGACTGGAAAGAGCAGCTGCGCTGGATTCTGTCTTGTCTCTGTTTTGGACACACATGCCATCATTACAGTTACACACTTTCCACAACCACATCTCATTGTCATCTTAGGCTAAGGTTTCTGTAAAGGTGTGGATCCAACTCATAGATAAGGACAATCGGGGATGAACTGGTTTCTGTCCCTTTCTTATGCACCATGCACATTGATCACAGCTCAAGCCCTGTCACCCCTGGTTTTTGCTCTGGCCGGCTCCATTTCTTCTTGGTATATAACGCCCTGCTGCAACAGATTATCCAGCAGCTGGTTTAGAACTGGTTAAGACATGCTTCAACAAACTGAGTCCGAACAAAGAACAACATTCTCTCTGGTGACAGACTCTGAAGCCTCTGTAGACGGTCATTACTTGCACCAGGATCTGAGGCACAAGCAGAAAACAGGCTTTGGTCAATAGCTTTTATTTAAAGCACTTTATAATGTAACTCTCATTCATACATTCACACAGTGCTACCATGAAATGTGTGACTGCTCAATTACAGTGGGGGCTGACATATTACATTTTGAACCCCCATGGACTCAACCATGCTACACTGGTTGAGCATGGACACCTGCAGTACCAGGTGTTCATGTGTGAGGTGACAACCTGCTAGATTCTGCTACTGTTTGTTGCCTTTTAAAAGACAGCTAAGTCGAGTGAGAAGAGGTTTATCTTCAGACTGTGGTCACACTGTATGAACGACATGTTCACCTGCTGAGGTCCGATCCCAACAGCAGCCTGATCACCTCCAGATGTGGTCTGGCCACTCTGATCACACCGAGATCCAGATATGTTTCTACACCTGCATTAATGTGCACTTCATGGTCCAGTCAGGACATGCAGACTTGTTATTGTCAGTAGTTAACAGGGTCAACATATGCACGAAGCTGAGGACTGATGTCAATGCGGCCCTGAAACGTCACCTCTGCAGGATGACTACTGGCTGATTCAGTGCCTGAGGGAGGACTGTGTGACTGGACATGATTAGAGTCCTCATTTCCCAACAAAGGCTGTTACTTTCAGCTTGTTCACTCCTTTTTACACACTGTTCAGCTTAAAGTTGGATCACATAAACACAGATTCATATAAATACATGTATCTGGGTTTCTATATTGACGAACATGTGAATTGTAGAAAACTAAAACAGATATTTGTATGTACCCAAGCTAGCAGGAGGGAGGATATGGGATGGGAATCGTCTGGTTACTTGACATGGAAGAAAGGTGGCTGACAAAAAGATCTTCATTCGGGACAAATTAGTTTCTCTTGGTCAAAAAATGTTAGCTTTCCTTTAGGGATCGGAATCGAATCAGGATCGAAATTGGTGATGCTTTTTCTAATTATGAGAAGATTCATGTTTGTTCAGACAAGTTGTGTTTGCTGAGAGTAAAAGACAATGGGTGGCTGATATATGAACTAAACCAGGACTGGGCACATTTAACATGATAAAAATGTATTTAGTACTGAGAATTATACAAAATATTATTTATCTAAAACATAAAGGTCTGTGTATGTTCTCAGCTGAGATCTGGTATTTTGCCATTTGCAATGGGAACTGGACTGTTTCTTATTTAGAAGAAGGGAAGCTGACCTGTGCACTGTGTTGTTTGAATGATATGGGAATTAGTTTCAATTTTTATATTGTATTTTTTAATGGGAACTATACAATATCTTAGTTAGTAAAATAACTATCGATACTGATTGTGTAAATATGGATGATGCCGAGAGACTGAGTTCATAGTTTACATATGAAACATGTACATTTGCTAAAACCTTGGAGAAAGCCTGGGAGAAGAGGAAACAATCAAGCTGATTTGTACAAATTAGCAATTACAATGTTGTAAGCTTTCTCTCTTTTTGTTTCTTGCACTGTATATGTTACCAGAAAATGTATCATTTGTAAAAATAATGGTGTCTGTAATCCCATGCAGGATGGACCAGATGTCTGGCATGACACAGAAATAAAATAAAATTAACTAATAAACTAACGCACAGTGAACCTGGAGCTCCTTGGCCAATAAGATACCTAAAAACCTGTTACAAAAAGTGAACAGTAGAAGGAAAGACTGAAGAGTAATGTGAGGCAGAATAAGAATAAAGTCACCATGGATCAATATGTAAACATTACTCTGTTCTTTTTTAATCTATTCTACCATCAGGTGCCATGATTCTGCAGGTGAAGACTTTATCAGTCAGATCAACTTGGCGCTTCCAGACTTCAGTATTCATTTGGTCTTGTACCGTTATGGTCACTTCTTCTGTGTTCATAGGCAGGCGGATCTGAAATGCTGGGTAGTAATTTGGTCCAAACTGAGGGTTGAATTCTTCTTTCTGAAAGCCAGTAGCACAGTGTCCCAGTAAAGTGCAGGTAACCAGCATGTCAGTTTGTTGCAGCACTGACAATTATTTGAAATACTCACCTCAGGCTGTATTAGACAGGCTGTCGGACAGTTAACAGTGTAATGTTGGCCCTTGATGAGGTTACATACGGAAGGGACCTTGATGTACTTAGCCTCTCTGTGCTGTACTCTCACCTGAAGAGACAAGAGAACACTGTGACTAAAAAATTTGTCCTCAGCAGAGCCTGACCAATAAATCATAACCATTGTTTTCACACACTGATTCTCGGTTTATAACACTGTACTTCTGTCCAGTCTGGTTTCACTGTACAGTCTGGGGGATTCTCACTTCCTTCTTATCAGGACCTGCTGTGGTTTCAATCACAGGTGGTCTCTGAAATCATGTAAATAATAGTTTTCCAAACACAGTCATACATATGTAAATCTCTATGGCAATCATGAGCTCTGGGTATTGAGCAAAAAGTGAGACCCAAGTGGCTGAAATGATTTTCCTTTGCAGGTGTCTGAAGCAGGGTAAGGAGCTCAGACATACAGAAGAATCTGAGCATTGAGCTGCTGTTTCTTTGCATCACAGTAGTCAGCTGAGGTGGTTCTAGCATCTCTTAAAGATGCTTCCTAGATGCCAATATACAATTGTATATACAGTGGTGTGAAAAAGTGTTTGCCCCCTTACTGATTTCTTATCTTTTTGCATGTTTGTCACACTGTAATGTTTCAGATCGTCAAACAAATTTATATATTAGTCAAAGATAACACAAGTAAACACATCATGCAGTTTTTAAATGAAGGTTTTTATTATTAAGGGAAAACAAAATCCAAAACTATAGAGCCCTGTGTGAACAAGTGTTTGCCCCCCTGTCAAAACACTGGTTTATCGCACCTGAGTTCAATTTCTCTTGCCACACCTGTTCGCAATCAAGAAATCACTTAAATAGGACCTGCCTGACAAAGTGAAGTAGACCAAAAGATCCTCAAAAGCTAGACATCATGCCGAGATCCAAAGAAATTCAAAAACAAATGAGAAAGAGAATAATGGAGCTCTATCAGTCCGGAAAAGGTTATAAAGCCATTTCTAAAGCTTGGGGACTGCAGCAGAATTCATGGTTCCACTTATCACAGCATGTCTTCCAGGGCCTGAAGCAGCAAAACAGCCCCAGACCATCCCATTACCACCACCATATTTTACTGTTGGTATGATGTTCTTTTTCTGAAATGCGGTGTTACTTTTACGCCACACATAATGGGACACACACCTTCCAAAAAGTTCAACTTTTGTCTCGTCTGTCCACAGAGTATTATCCCAAAAGTCTTGGGGATCATCAAGATGTTTTCTGGCAAAACTGAGACGAGCCTTTATGTTCTTTTTGCTCAGCAGTGGTTTTTGTCTTGGAACTCTGCCATGCAAACCATTTTTGCCCAGTCTCTTTCTTATGGTGGAGTCATGAACACTCACCTTAACTGAGGCAAGTGAGGCCTGCAGTTCTTTGGATGTTGTTGTGGGGTCTTTTGTGACCTCTTGGATGAGTTGTCGCTGTGCTCTTGGGGTAATTTTGGTCGGCCGGCCACTCCTGGGAAGGTTCTCCACTGTTCCATGTTTTCGCCATTTGTGGATAATGGCTCTCACTGTGGTTCGCTGCCGTCCCAAAGCTTTAGAAATGGCTTTATAACCTTTTCCGGACTGATAGAGCTCCATTATTCTCTTTCTCATTTGTTTTTGAATTTCTTTGGATCTCGGCATGATGTCTAGCTTTTGAGGATCTTTTGGTCTACTTCACTTTGTCAGGCAGGTCCTATTTAAGTGATTTCTTGATTGCGAACAGGTGTGGCAAGAGAAATTGAACTCAGGTGCGATAAACCAGTGTTTTGACAGGGGGGCAAACACTTGTTCACACAGGGCTCTATAGTTTTGGATTTTGTTTTCCCTTAATAATAAAAACCTTCATTTAAAAACTGCATGATGTGTTTACTTGTGTTATCTTTGACTAATATATAAATTTGTTTGACGATCTGAAACATTACAGTGTGACAAACATGCAAAAAGATAAGAAATCAGTAAGGGGGCAAACACTTTTTCACACCACTGTACCTCATGTTGGGAACAACTCAGCACAGACCTGAACCTGGATATGCACCAGTAAAGGGATAGTGACTATATTCATTTCCAATTAGCAGCTTTAAGATCAAGACCATTAAGACCAGTTTGGATTACAAGTGGAGCTGTAATATTTCAGAAATTTTTACCTCTTCCAGAGGGATGTTGCTTGGCAGGAGTAACACGTTCAGGTTTTGCTTCTGTGTTCTTGAGTTTGGTGGTCAGATGAATAATACAATTTGGCCAGAAATTGGGTTTGAGTTGTTCCAAAACTTCTTTAAAAAATCCCAGACCAGGCCAAAGGCAGAGAGATGGGGGACTTTGACAGTCACGTGAGTGCCTGTGATCTCCAGCGGCTCGAGGATACTCATGCCGTCGTCAGTGATGTGGACGACAGACAGCTGGCCTTCAGAGAGCAGAGTTGCAAAAACACAGAACCATCCAGCATCTGTTTCATGATTTGATTTCTAGGACATTTAGTCCATTTCTTGACAAATGAAGCAGGTGTCAGATGATTAACCAAATACAACTGTCAAAGCTTGTGGATGGGAAGCTGGTGAGAGACTGTCCTTAGAGTCCAACTGTTTGGTGACTCAGAGTGAGACGTACAAAGGACAGATAATTGTATTGTTGCAAATAAATTAGTAGGAATGATTTAAATGTTTTATTACAATGGAAGTGTGAAACTGTGCCCCCTCAAACAATTTGAATGCATGACGCATCTGTATACAACATTAGTTACACTGAGTGTTGGGGGGCCCAAAATCTCCATCAGTACCTTGATTAAAAATATTAATTTATAAATTATGACAAGTGAATCTCAGCGCACTGGCATACTTTGAAACTGAATACTAATTAAAGTGCTATGCACATGTAAGGTAGAGCAGATGCCATTGCATTTACATGTAAGTTCTGTCTAACATAACATTTCTATCTATTAAGTATCCCACAATACAAAGTGTCCAAATAAAATTTGCTGTTCACTCATGTGCCTGTGCCTTTTCTCTAGTGCCACCTAGAGGCAAAAATCCTCTAATGCACAAGAAAAAGACCTAACACTGAGTGTCAGTGTGGGACAGAAGTTGCCTGCTTACCAACAAGACTACAGAGTCTTATCACTACTGTAATGTCTCCACTCACAAAAACAATAATCTGCTTACCATCCTTTGTTTCACAATGTGGGAGGCGGAGCTGACAAACAGCATTCTTGGTACACTGTACAGTGGCCCTGCAGCCATCTTGCCGGCTGCTTGGAGAAGGCTCCCACCCCATTGGATAGTTCTGTACAGGAGCTCTGCCTCCTGACTCATAACTAATACCAGTCCTGTCAAAGTACACTGGAACATACCTGGACCAGACAACCAGAACCTCCATCCATCCATTTTCCTCCGCTTATCCGGGACCGGGTCGTGGGGGCAGCAGTCTAAGCAAAGATGCCCAGACTTCCCTCTCTCCAGACACTTCCTCCAGC